ATATACAAAGTGATTTCACTTTAAATAATGCGATAACGGAATTGAATTCACTACAGCGTGCTTACTTAATTAGATCTTTTATTGAATATAATATTAATCTCGTGACTTTAACCAGTGGCGTGCCGATGGAGGTGGCACCCCATTTTTCCAAGAAAACAGTACGCCACTGGCGTTTTTTGTAGAAAAAATGTTTTATTCAGGTACTGTTAACTGCATGAAACATGTTTCTTGATGTTTTTTAATATTAGCAACCATTTAGGGGATATTTGGGCTTGTACTAAAGCGAGATCATAGTAAAGCTTACTAATTGATAATGCAGACAAAATAATCAATTTTTGCAGATGGATTTTAAACAAATATGAGCATGTGGACTAAATTTGCTCATTATGGTCGGTAAATAAGTAAATTATCTCCTAAACAGCTGCTACTATTAAAAACCACCAAGAAAAACTTTTCATTCACTTAACGTAACAGTACTTGAATTTGAAATTCGGAGAGGCATCTTCAGTAACACGCCACTGGTTAACGCCCCGAGGTTAATATTACATTCAATAAATGGTCTAAGTAAATGAATAAACTGTAATAAATTTCATTCAAATCGTTCAGCGCAATATGAAGATATGACTGAAAATATTTTTGGAAACTTGAATACCCTGTATCTCGATGATATATAATTTTACATTATATTATTTAAAAATACAACTGCCCGTGAAATTTTTAAATAAAAGAATTTATAAACGCAATAAAGGAATAAATTCTTTGATATGATTATTGATATGATTGGTGGAATAGTCTGTAACTCCGTTGTTTTTCAACGAATCTTGACGATTTTTTTTTAACTTAAAGCTATTTTCATAGCTTTCCGAATATGTAATAATATAACTATATCACGCTCATGCGTCGTATATTTCATTTTGCAACTGAGGCTAAAAAATTAAAAAAATTCCCAGATTACAAATTTGAAATTAAAAAAAAATTATAGATTTCAATGTATTATTATAAAGTCTACCATGAAAAAAATCAGTGCGATTGTGGAAGATCCTCGGGATCGTCCAGACTAATCATTAGTTAAATTGTTTATAAGGCCATAACTTGTAAACTATTCAATTTACCGATTCCAGGTTTCGTGTGAGTTATTAGACAGTGATAAGGAATGAGAGGATGCGATGCCAAAACGTTCTGGTAATAATAACGCAGTTTATAAATGTTTAATTCAAATGTCGTAAATAAACTTCTTTTGTTTATAACTTTTGATCTAATCAATATTTCTTGACGCTCGAGGGCTAGTTTGGTAGGTCTTTTGAAGACGAAAAAAGTACCTTAGATACTGTATTCTCGTGGAAATGAACGGAAAGAAGTTTTAAGCGAAAAATGTGAATTTACGTAAAAATTATACAATTAACCACCCTGTAAATAATCTTCCCTCCATTTTTATGACTGTGGACCGTAATATGTCATTGTACAGAGTATTTAGCATCTATAGTGATAAATTCAGCTTACCGAAACAAAAAGTCGCGTCCAACTCTATATTTCCTGGCCTATAATCGCTGAAAAAGCTGAGAAAAAAGTGAAATCTTCCGACAGCGTACTGTGGAGGGAAAAATAATTCATTCCAAAACGTCAGCGAATGATCTAATTAGGTGATTATTAACGAGCTTGTCTGTTAATATAATTTCCAAACATGATTTAAAAGGGAATAGAATTAATTTGAAACGCTTAACACCTTTAAAGTACAGCATGATTGAATTAAATAGACTTCATCCTTCTGCTTCTTTTACTTTTAAATCTGAACAAAATAATCATTTCATTTCTTCAATTGATTTGAATTCTAGAAGTGTATAGGAAACCAATTCAAACGGATCATCTCACTTCAAATTATTCAAATCGTCCTTTCCAACATAAAATGAGCAAATTTTTAGTAATAAAAACAGAAACCTAGCTTCATAAATAATTACAATCCACGTGACTGCCTTTGGCAACATTGCATGGCTGGTACTATCAACTAAAAATTCCCTAAATCTTAGCGTCATCAGTAGTAATGATTCGTTTACAATGAATAATGACAAACTGGTTACGACTACGCTCGAGATAATGCGATCGCTGATCGATTGAATAAAATTACACCAACCACCAGCCGGTGATACAGAACGTTGTTTTAATGTAATCTTGATTTTAATGATTTTGAAGCTTAAAGCCTCTAGTTTCAACATTTTTAGATACAAAATTTTTTGAGTTACGGTTATCGAGCAATCAAAAGAAACACTTCGAGAAAAATATGTCTCCCTTCACGCACTTTAGGTTGCCAACAATCTTCTTGCAAATACATAAGCATTACAGGGTGGGCTTGCTACAATGTTCAACCAATCTGACAAACATTTTCTTATTCGATACCTACTTATAAATCGGTGTAATATATTTTATATGGTCTTTACTTCTGGTGACATTAAAATGTGTCGCTAAGTTATACAAAAGCCAAATTATTTTTCATTGTCAGTTTCTACAATGTAGTTTGAGTTAAAAACAACCCGCAAAGTTGATGGTGCACTAACACGTACTATTACCCTAAAAACTCACCCTGTATAAAAACAAACTTCAACATATAAGTAAACAAATAGAAAACCAATATTTTCTAATTAATATAAAAAACAAACAAAATGTCTGTTGTTTGTGAATGGAAATTCAATAATTTATTTTGCTTCATTCTTATCCGTTTCTATGGGATGTACAGGATGTACAAAAATCAGGAATACATATAACAAAAAAATCGAATTGTTGAAGAATAACTATTACCTAAAATTTTTTTAAACTAATAAAACTTATGCCAAATACCTCCATTTTTAAGTAATGCAAGATATCTATCTATTGCAGAATTAATGCTATAGTTGGTCTGACTCTTAACATAAAATATTGAATATCGTAAATTTTCGCAGAAACATTAATTTGAACTTGTTTTAATATATCACGGCATATTAACTAGATTAAAAATTTCTAATTTGAAATTACTTCCAAATTCCAACATTTTGTTTTTGTGAAGCCATACTTCAAAAATAATAATTAGTGGTAAGAGGTAGGTGACTTAAAATTTAATTTTCTTTCTCATGTGGCAGAAATACAGAATAAAATAAAGAAACTAATAATTATTAATATTTATAACAAAAATTGTCTAAATTTTCAGAATCAATAACTTTATCATGATATCTGAGAAACCAGGCGATTTTCAAAATTTATTCATAAGTGCCCCTTAGAATTTAGAAATGTAGTGTTTTCCAAAGTTCCTGCTAATTTTAACTCTACTATGTATTTACAATTTTTTTAAACAGAAACAAATTTATTGTATCTTTTTCTATGATTCTTCCAGATCTAAAAATCATTAATACTATCCGCATTGCGTATATTATCATCATTACAGCATCACTCATTGCCACATTTGTTTATCTGCTCGCACTAAATAGACTATTAATACATTGTTTTTAAGGAGGTAAGTGGATTTTCCGTAGAAGTGGAAGAAGAAGTTTTCCTCGCGTTTATTAATTGTCACATTTTTCTCAAAATGATTTGACCGCTCAATTTCAGTCAGCGGAGGCTCAATATTATCTGACATCCATTAAAATAGCATGATGCGACGTACTACAAGAACCAGAAGTCTATTTCATTTTTGTTACATAAACTATCAGCAACATAACTTTCTGCAATTGTGGCTGATTTCCACCCATTATGTCTCTTGATTGCTAATACATCAACTCCTGTAATAGCCATTAACGTTGCCGATGTTCTTCGGAATAAATGGTCTGTATAATGCTTCAGGATGTTCTAGTTTCAAAAACTGTGCAATCTTATTAGGAATCATAGAAAGACTATTCTTGCCGACTGGTTGGTTATAACATCTACCTGCTTGATAGCGCATAAAAAAGCGTGAAATTTCAGAAACGCAGCAGTTAAGTATAATTTACCTCCTTTATGGTGTAAATAACTATTTATGTCATGGCCGTAAATAATTTATCCCTGCCAAAGGTTTCTCCATTAATTGGATGTATAGCTACCTACCTATGATGCTTCTTATAGAAAAAGTGAATCCCAATTTAAACAATGTAAATTATCTATTAAGTATACATGAGAAATATCTTTCTCATCGGGATAAGTAGATAAGATCATTAGGTATGTAGCAAGCATTCAACAATATTACACCTACATCACTAATGCTCTAGAAGCTAGGGAAGATGAACTCAACATTTGCTAATGAATTAAAGCCAAGCTTAGAAATAGGATCTGTTCACCCTACTGGAGCCTTTTATACATGCAAAGGTGTATAAAGGCTGTTCACGGAAAGGAGAGCTTTCCCCTTATTGTATGCCCTGCGATTCTAACGAAACTATCTGCAAAAGGTGTTTATTTCCTTGAATATCCAAAAAAAATCTCTAAGAATACCGTAGTAACAATTTGTTTTAACTTTCTATAATATTACCGAGGTATATCTTTACAAGATCGTCTAATTTTTAATCCAAACATGTAACGAGCCTTCTTTGTAATTTGATTACGCTTTGTAATACTTTTCAACCTTACGGCTTTGACCTAAAAAAACATTTTGTACATGCAATCTACCCATATTTTCATAATGTGGATCATAGTATGATATTGCCAAAGGAAAGAACGACGGTCATAAGCGATCGTACATTGTAACTTTTTCTTTTTTCATGTGCTATCATGAAAAACAGAGAAAGCTTAACAGCAAACTTCGTGGGAAAATATGCAACTGTTTCATTTTCTGATTAAATGGAAAATGGCGTGGCAAAATTCTTGGTGATTAAACATTACATCGTATTTACTCAACTAATCTGCAATCCAAGTTTATACAGAGAAGACAACAAGTTTAAAGAAACAAAGATATATTTCAGATAAATCTTAAAAAGTATTATCTGTTTATATAAATACAGTTTTAATTATAATAATTAAACATAAATTTTAAAAAAACAACTAGATTTAAAAGAGTACAAACAAAAGTGCAAGTATAAAATAAGTTTATTAAATACAAAATAACATTAACACATTATAATACTGATGTTATTTTTAATAAAACCAGTTCCTTAACTCTTTCATATTCGAAAAATTTTGGGAAACTTAACGGTATATCTTCGGTTTTTAAATTTTTTATTTGTCGGAGACGCTGGAGAAAATATTCATAGCACGGGGCTGTCGATGCACAATCCGCTATTGTAAAGACATAACGCTTCTCTAAGGCAACATAAACACATTTTTCTGGTGGTGTGGAAAGTAAGAGTTGAAGGGTCCTTACGAAAGCATCTGTTATTCTATCATCATATACAGCTGAAATAAATAGATTATTCATTTATTTATTAGTCAGATTAAGGTTAATCTATTTTATCCACAACTAACGTCTTACCTAATTTTACTATAATAAAACACTATTTTATCATGTAAATGACTACTGTGGTTATAAAGGACTATTTATATTATTCTGTGTCTTTGGTGATTCAATTTTAAGTGATAGCAAATCTTCAATGTATCTTGGTTGAAACTGAAGGCATTAACACTTTCGGAGCGGTTATGGACCATAAGTGTTTGCAAACATGAAGAAATTATTTGAATTTTAAGTACAATTCAGTAACAGTAAGTAAATTATACAACACAATTGCATAATTTAATAAAAATGAATAATGGAATCATCCAAATAAGTGAAACGGGAAGCCATCGAAAGAGATCACCACCACGATTTTTCAGAACCACAAGCTTTTTAGAACAATAAAGTAGAAAAATATAAGGTTAAAGAATTACGAGAGAAAGCCTGACAAAATTGATGATCAGCTAAATAATAAGTATGTCACTTTTAGTGCACGATAAATTCACTTCGAGTGATTCAATTGAGATGGTAGTCCAAAGTCACCCATGTAAATGCTTATTTTATATATGGAGCAGTTTATTTGAAATTGGTTATTAATTGTACGCAGTATCTTCCAAGTGGCTTACAATTAGATACTCCCTCTGTCCTATAATAATAGTAGCAGCTGATGTATTTAATTTGTCCCATAATAATAGTACCAAAGGAAAATAAATATAGAACTCAACGCTTATTATCAAAAAACTAGATTAAATTCAACAATAGATTAAAAGTGAATGACGTATTATCCAGTATTTCGGGAGAAACATTATCGAATGCTATGTTTATTGCTTGTATTAACTCATCAATATTATTAGGCGAGGCTTGATAGTAGTGACTGCATTGAGTTAAAGAACTCAAGAACATTTTAAAGTCTGGGCTATTTAGTGGTTGTGAATTCATTTTTGTATTGTCCCTCCATCACGAAATCCCTGCTCTAATAGTAACAGATCATCATTATTTAGATGTAGTTTTGCTTTATTTTCTTGAATAAATAAGGGGCAATGTCTTGATCCTCTTGGTAATTTTTTACGAATTGTTGGCAGTATGTTTTTAAAAAACATTTTCTGTATCTGTGTACTAGTACTCTTCTACTAAGAGGAATATGTCTAAGTTTTTCTGCATAACCTTTGCATTTATGCCCAGTTTTGTTTTTTACAATTATTTTCGGAAGCAGCATTCTGTAGAACTTAAATTCTTTTGCAACTAATATAATGGCACCTTTCTGCAAGTTTTCCATTTTTTTATGCATCAAGAACTCGATCTTTGCTTGAAAAGTCTCTTCTATTCATTTTACTTTTACAATGGGTTAATATTCAACTGAAATAAAACAATTGATTGCGATTTGTAATAACTAGGTGAACCTAAAAATTGAAAGATGTGTCAAAACAAATGACAGATATCATAAAACATTGATTTTGACTGAAGGATTCGCTATTTTGCGCTACAACATAACTTACATCTATATTCGTCAATGTTCACTTGCTACTATTATTATGAGACAGAAGGATTATTAATTACAACTATCTAATTACGAAATGTCTTAGTTTATAGTTTATTATTTTTTTAATATTACAATCCTTGAAATTGTTGAGCAAAGAAATACAATACTTTTTAATCCAATTCCAACTCGACAGCAACACAGCCTTGTACTTTAATCCACTGAATCCGAATCCAGAGTGAGAATTCTCGAATCAGTTTGTGACTTTAACATCAAGAAAACGATTTTCAAACTGACTTGAGTAGTCAGTGACTGGAAAGACATGCGAAATCTGATCTGCTCCACAGCCCAGCTCGCTTTTTGTGGTGCTGTGTAATTTTGTAATTAATGAAATTAAAGAATTGGTAATCTTTTTATTAGGTGGAAGCAAAGACATCGCACATTGTACATATTTAATTGAAAATGTCAATTTCAAGTTAACGATGTAAGTTATACCAATGTAAACAATTGGAAGTAAAACACTTTCTCCGGACTTGTTATAATATACTCATATCTTTAAGACTACGTGTTCATAATGATATTTTGATGACCTTCCCAAAAAAATACATTTATTAAAATCACCTGACACACATGCGAAAGTAACATTTTCACTCAAATGCGTAGGAAATACTGATACATTTAGTAGCCATTTGATGTGCCACTTAATAGCTTTCCCTTTAAGATATATTGAATAGATTTATGATTCCGAGAATGCGGGTAATAATGTCCAATTGCCATTTATTATGATGACACCTTTCAGGATATAAGAGCCCAAATAGAGACATTAGGAGTTTATAGCAACTGAAAATACCGTGACTGAGAAAAGTGTTGAACAAAATCAAAATATCATGTGTATTATTTTTCTTGTTAAATAAAGGCGTTTAAATTTTGTTAATAAATATTATAGTAAAGGAATACTACCAACCAAAAGGTTGGTTCAAGACCAAAGATTTTTTAACCTGATTTACTCTTACAAAGGGAAAGGCAGATTGGTAATCGGAGCTGTTACAAGAATAGATAATATCGATGTATCTACCTACCAAACAGCGGGCAATATGCAAGGGTTCGGTCCCTCAGAAGAAAAGATAATCGTTAGATAATGATCGCTGAGGTTGCGAAGTAATTAAGGCGAACGAATAATTGGCTATATTTGACAGCAAATTTCTGTGCTTAAGAAAATGTAATAAAAAATTATAAATGCTATTAAGATTGTTGATATCAGACTTTTTATTAGCAAAATCATTAATAATAACCATTTCAAGAAAATTCCGCCGATTATAATTATAATTAGTCTCATTTTCCAAAATTGTGACACCGTCAACATTCATTCTATGACCTTAATGGGTGTCCCGAAATTAGGGGGCAATATTTCTATGTCGTTAAAATATTACTTTTTGTTTAGATAAACGTGGGTTCAAAAATTCTTCCTAAAGAAGTTGTAGCCACTTAAAGGGCTATGCACAAGATTGCCAAGATGGTGACGTCGACGATTCTCCATGTTGAGCCACTTGATTTCTACAATTTTGTGAGAAATATGATCAAATTTTCTTAATCCATGTACAAGTCGACAACCTCAAATTTGGACTTTTTGAATTCTATTTTTTTTGTATACTAAGGCATGGACCATAGATATAATCACAGTAATTAAAATAGGAAAGAACAACCGACTCACATAACATAATTTTAATTCAGAATATGATGACTGCTATAAATTAATCTAAGCGAATAATAATATTTTTGGAGTAATGTTTTCACATGCTGACGTAATTTACTGCCAAGAGTCACTCCCAGATTTTTTACACTGTCAGTAATAGGAATTGGAATACCATCAATTATAATATTAAAGTTAAGTCTTAATATTTGTTACTTTTTCTTAGTATCAAAAAAAATATATTTTTGATTTTTTAGAATTTAATTTTAAATTATGTACGTCAGATAATTGCCTTACAGTTTGTAACTTAGAGCTGACAATATTGCACGCTTGATCCAGATCATTAATATCAAAATGATGATATAGTTGAGTATCATCAGCATAAGCTTCTACTTTACATTGTTGAATTGATTCTAAAATGGAAGCAGTGTAAATTATAAAAAGTAAGGGACCCAAAATTGTATCCTGGGGTACACAAGAAAGTATGTCTAAACTATTAGAAAAAATGTTATTAACACATACCTGTTGAGATCTTCCGTGTAAATAAGAATTAATAAGATCTAAAGTCGGTTCATCAAACCCATAGTACTTAAGTTTAGAACAATACAATAGAACAATAGAACAAATAGTTACTAGAGTAAAATAGATATTCGGGTTGAATTTAGTGTTTAGGTTTGTCATTTAGGTTTAGTTCATAAATTATATGTACCCACACAATCACAGATATAATAATTTATTATCATCTGTGATTAAGAGTGAAATTCTAAGAGGTAGCATAAGCGCCGAATCCAAAGGGCTTTGGGCACGAATTTACTTTCAGGTGTATCGAACTGAGAAGGGAATCTTTATTTATAAACAATGCAGAATATAACACCGATAATATTTACAATTTTCGTATCGAATTTACAATTTAAACATGTTTCAGAATATTATTAAAAATTCTAATTATAAGGCTTGCCTGAAAATTATGAAAAATATATATATATATTTACAGTTACACGAATTTCAAAATATGGTGTACTTATTACTGATAATAACGGAAGGTCCTTGTTAACTAAAAAATTAATCATTATCATTTTTATTTTTACAGTTTATGGGTTTGGAGTTTATAGGTTAAGTATTTATGGACTTAGGGTTTTTGGGCTTAGGGTTTATCAGTTCGGGATTGAGCGTATTAGCCTTTTTTGCGTGTAAATGTATTTTCAGATTGATATAATGCGTAAAATATATCGGCCATATAGATATCAAATTTTTAGATATTTTTTTAAGTTTATTGCAAAATTTGACGTGATACAGTATTTTGGTGTTCAGATTCATGATCAGATACTTTAGGATCCCATTAATTGTTTTAGTAACAAAATAACCTATCCATGTAACATAACCTCAAATATGTCAAAATATCGCGATTTTGGCACCTTTAGGTTAGAATATCTCGAAAACCAGAGCTAACTGAGAAATTTGAACCTTGGATTCGGATTCAGCGTACCAAAATCCTTGGGAAAAGTACATTCTGGTTTCTGGGTTCGAGGATTTTGTCGGCCTGTGTTATTTTTTACCAATGTCTACATCATTGAACATAATCTAACAATTTTGCATATTAGTTTTACAAAATATATCAAAATAAATAAATTTTATTATTCTATGAAGTTTAAAAAATACCTAAATGTATACTTACTATCTGCAGCAATAATAATGCGAATCTTAGCTAAATTTCGAAGAATATCCTTCGGTAGTGCTTCCTCTGTGAAATTTAATTCAAGCACGTTCACTGCATGTTTCACAATATGCTTATTTCTCTCAATGTTGCTTCTGATAATACTGAGAAGATTTCCTTTATTTACATCTTCAACAGAAATTCAAATTATTAAAACTTCGATATGTCTTGACCTTTATTTATTTTACCTGTACAGAACACTGGGGCGAACATAGAAGCAACTATACTTGTTAAGCCAACCCCGGATCCCAGCTCCAAAATATAGGAATCACTTGATAAAATACTATGGTGATTATGTATTAACCAATCTGCGAGCAATAAAGATCCTCTCCAAATCTGCAATCCAACTAAGTCAAGCACGGTGCTTTTCATGTGTTCTAAAATATAAGTAGAATAATGTTACTAATTGACTTTCATTTAACCATTGGGCATAATCCGTCCCTGGCGTTCTGGGCGTAATGAACACTTGTGCTTACAACATCAAAAACAATCTGTACGCATATGTTATCGATCCAAATCTGCATTATGCTAAAGTTAATAGTTTAGAGACTAAATAAAAATAACTTTAATTTTCACCAAGGGTCCGTAACTTGTTAACGAAGGCCCATATGAAAAATTTATATCACCCCTAAATACTGTTACTGCCACAGCACGAACCAGATTCAGACGTTCCTGTATATTAACTTTGCTACAACCCACACCTGACGCCATCTAGGAACTACTTAGCTTACTTATGAATCGGCAGACGAAGCAATGTATACATGGATCTATTCGTGTGCGCAGTTGTCCGTAAAATGAGCAGATGGCGCTTTATTGTTGAAGAAAATTGTATTCCATATTAACTCAAAACAGTATAGATGGGGACTGATAGTTCTTAATTTATTTTATAATTTAATTCGTATTTATGAAGGAGAGGAAAAATTAAATACGTATTTTTGTACTATTTAATGTAGCCGCCAAATGTAGTAGTTGTTTTCATAATTTTAAAATGCTTTTATCTACTACTCCTTTATATTTTTCGAAAATAGCCTGATTTTCGAGTAAAACTTAAAAAAAAACAACTGAAACAAATTTAAACTAAATTTCAACTTATAAAGATTAAAATTTCTACCAGCATAGTACTTTTTCTTATACCTACCTGCACATAGACCAGATTAAAACCTGAGATACGTTTATTTCCATAAAATAGTCTATGGTGAAATCTTGAGGAGGGTGAAGTGTGATTTCGACCTACCTATTTCTATCACAGCATTGTTAGTGTTCTTAGAAGTTTTGCGAGGCACAATTAGATCGCCGTCGGGATCAGTGGATACTCGGTACTGAGGATATCTGAAGCAAAATTTCGAAACAATATCTAAAAATAAAAAAATCGATGTGTATATTATAAATTATCTTCTTGGTTTCTTGTCGTACTATTTTTATCAACGATCGGTTTCGATGATGTTCCGTAGTCGTGCTCCTTGTATATTTCTGAAGATACTTTATAGTCTCCATCACCCATGTCTAGATAAATATCTGGAAACAAAAAAAAACTGGTAACTGGGATAAAAATAAAACAGTTGGAGATGGAATAGCGATATCACAAAAATGATATATATCTCTTTTAAAAGGGTATCTTTCTATTATCACTGATTTCCAGAAAAAAGTGTATATAAAAGTATACCCCTATTTTTTTTATAGTCTGAAAGCACAGAGAAACAATTTAGGACCAGCCTTCTTATCAGGCATTTTTACAAAGTACCGTCGTATGTAAATGCACACATTGTAAAAATATAAGATAAAAGTTATATATTCCAAGATTTTGCAACCGCTGTTCATACAAACTTACTTAAACATACCAAAAAGCACTCAAAACTCTCGAAAGTAGTAGTGGAGATACTCACTTGCAATACAAAAATTATATAATAGACGATAACTTTTACATAATTTTGGCGAAACAAAAAACTTATAGCTAAAGGTTGCTTATTTTCCCTCCAAGGGGCAGAAATTTTCAAAAATCATTGAAATACTTGCATCTGTATTTGTAAAAAAGTTGACATTTGGTTCTCAAATTACAACCGCTTTTCCATATCGTTTTTTTGGATACTTTGAGGACTATTTTGAGGGGTTAATACTTTACAAAGGTCATTTCTTCACCCTTAGTTATAGATTTACCGGTACTATTTGTGCTACTCCTTTTGAAAACGCCCTGTATATAAGTTTTTACTGTTTCGTTACAGGGAAATTTTTCTGATGGTACTGCACTAAAGCAGCAAAATATTGGTGTTAACTGTTTTTCTTGTATAAACACTATTGGAAAGCTTATTAAAAAAATTGTGCTACCAGAATTTCATTGTCACATCAAAATTGGAAAGTGTGACAAAAATATTAAACACATTGTTTTTCTCACTCTTCTATGTATTTATGAGCATGTTATATGAAATAGTAAATAAAAAACAAAACAAGAAAACAACAAACAACAAAAAAAAATTACTACCCTTCTTGGAGGTGAAAATTCGAAATATTTGGAATTATTCAATTTTCGTGTCTAAAAACATACATAGGTATTGTATTCTCGAAACCGAGATAATTGCACTAAACCAAAGTGGTCATTTCGTACCCAATCTCCCATTACAATATGTACAGTACGTCATAAAACATAAAACAATCACTATATTAGTATGCATAAATGAAACAGTTTAATGCAATTTCTGTACAGTAAAGAAAAATATTGAAAATATAAAAATTCTGAAGATTTCATTGATTGCTTTTTGACATTGCTAAAGACCAAAAGCGAAGTTCAGTTTCAGTTTTATACGTACGTTCTAGACAATGGAGGCATTATTTCAGTGAAAATAAAACATTACTGCGAGAATAATTTGAAATATTTTATCTTATCGCCTTACAACATATTTTTGTCTGCTTCCACTTTGCATAAAAATTTCAAAAATTAAAAAAGTAGAGTGTATCTTTAGTGAAAGAAATAAATAATAAAATTAACTAAAATGCATTTGAAAATACGCAACGTGTCCAGTTAGAAGTAATTTCTATCATTTTGCGAGAATAGAGGGTACAAATTTGTAGACAAAAGAACTATGGGTTTAATATGAAAAAACGGAATGGATAAGACCACAAAGAGGCCGTTATTAAATTAATGCAAGGTATGTACTACGACAAATTTAACAGATTCGACCTCTTTAAAGATATGGAATTCAAATCCGTGAGAGATGCTGAAAACGCAAAGTATAAGTTGCTATAAAAAGAGGCTTGAAATAGAAGGCAAAATTCTGATGTTCTAAATAGACAAGAAATCTCGAAAATGATAAAATACTACGACGACAGAGATCAAAATGTTTATTACATTATTTTAAAGACGATACGAACAATAATACGGGTTTACCCATTTGAAGAATGAAATAAAACAAGATATTTTCAAAAAACAGCACACCAGGTGGAGCACAAAAAGATACTAACAATAAATGGTTAATTCCAAATATCCAAAACCCTGATATTTCACCTATTCGACTGCTAAAGAAATTACAAACTAAGCGGATTGCAAACTGACAGGCTATTTCTAACAGTGAACATTATTTGGGATAAATCATATTTCTTAGGATGGTACAAAAATATGCCGATTGGGGTAAATATAATGCCGAAGTGGATGAAGGAACCTTCAAAGACAATAGGGCTGGATTGCGAACTATGTCGCACGATTCACTACAGCGTCTCATCTTCTCAAAGCAGGTATCAATCAACAGGAAATTATAAAAATTATGGGTCGCTGCTCATCTAACTCAATGGAAACTCACTAGGGTTTGGCAATGAACATCATTCAAATTTAATTATTAACCCATGAGAAGATGGGGAGGCAATACTTTTAAGGCAACAGAGCAAAATATCGTCGTAAAATCCTTCACTTAGGGACACATTTACAATAACTGTATTTCTCACGTTCAAAAGTTTAACGCAATTTAGATATTTCGTTTTGTTTAAACTTAAGTGACCTTAATTAATTAAAAATACAATATAGCAAAAGTGTATGTCATTGTAATATTCAAAAATAATTTTTCTAATACCACACGAGAGTTCGACACATTAGAAAATAATTATAAAAACTTCTTTCAGCCGCTTGTCATTCATAATAGTTATTCGAGTTCTTCGTTTCCTGGCAACAAATGTTCAAAACATTGTCTAATTACTTTCAATCTCTTGTTACTGTCTTCTGATGTTACTAGTGAAAAGCCTATCACTTACTGTATTATTTAAATTATTTAATGTTATGTTGACAAACGTCTATTATTTAACCTATTTTTTACTTTATCATTTTATTTTCATTTACACAACATTGTTCTTTTTTTAAAAATGAAACAACGTTCTATAGTAAGAGAATGCACTACATTTTTGGAAATCATTAGTTGATACCAAAGAAAAATACAATTTTTTTTATTTTGTTTCAACAGATTTGGATTTCTTTTATCTTGTCGATGGTAAATTTCGTTTTAACGACCAGCAGTAATCGCATTTTTATATCCGATCTACCTTGGTACCGACACTCCATTTCTTTAATATCTTGGTGAAATATTTCTCCTTGATCCTGAAACCCAATCAAAACTTACGAGTTCAAAACCAAACGGACTTTTATACACATTTTTAATAAGTTGATTGATCTTTCTTCTATTCTTGCATCGTCAGAGTATATTTTCATTGACGTATTTTGTGCATTTTTGAAGAAAATAGTGCGATACCACAAAAGTGAGTAGTATTCTCGGTGCCATAATGAAGGCAAAAAACCTATTATCTTGAAAAATTGTTCTTAAGAATCTCAATCGACACAGACTCATTGCATAAATTAATGAAGCATTAACGGACACATTGGTTTGAGCTTCCTAAATTAGGCTTATGAATACTAGAAATTTGTCATGTCAAAACAATCGACAATCGACTCTAGAGTCACGGACTCAGAGTTAAAGCTTTCTTTCTTTAACCTTATTTGTTACTCAAATTTTAATACGCATAAATGCGTACAGTGTTTTGAGTTTAGAACTTAAGAGTATTTAGCAGACCTGATCGGGGCAAACGGACCTCGGATTCAGATTTAGCAACCCCGAACGCATATAAATACCATGGTCTTGTCTTTCGTACCTCCCACTTCTTTTTGTGGTGCTTTATAATATGTAAGAATTACCTAAATTAAAAACAAAATAAATTTGGACATCATTTGGGAATTTTATGTTTTATCAGTTGTATAAAAATAAAACGTCCTGATTGAAATTATAGTTTGGAAAATAAAAATGTATTTGAGAATTTATAATCTTATAAAAAGAGATTATATATTTGTATTTTCACACATTTGTGAATAAATCAATTTAATCTTGGACCTCTTCCTAGTTCTGAACGCCAGTTTGTAATTTTTAAACCCACATCCAAACATAAATAAAAGCTCTCTACTAATTTATTTATTCGTATATTTTTGGTAAAAAAAAGCCGTCACAATAATCATTTTTCCATTAAATTATGTTCCTACTATTTTATTTGACAAATACATTCAAAAATGCACAAATAAAACAATATCGTAATAATAATTATGTAACAGTTGTCATTTTATCTTCACCTTTGAATGTTATGACCCAAGAATTCTGATAAATTTGGGTTTTTTTAATCTTAACAAATGCAATAGTGAACATAATAGTAAATAATTTTTTTACCAAACAAAATGCAAATAATGAAATATCACATATTAACTTTATAATTAAAAAATTATGTTAGAAACAGATTGATACTAATATGCAGGTATTTGTGAGGATTAGTTTTGAACGAGGGAAAGTTTACGAGGGATTAAACAATCCATTCATTCAAAAAATTACTTAGAAATTAGAATTATTTATGATTTTTTTTTACAATTTTTACATATAAAAAAATAATAATCATGGTCATAATGAATGAAATACATTTTTTTATATTATTTATAGATAATATGTAACATATTATTATTATTTCAATGAAAACAATAAGGTATATATACAAATTTTACGCAATCAGAAAACGAATTTTTTTTTTAGAATTAGATTCGATACTGGACTATAAAAAATCAATCTAAACTAGTTTAAAGTTTTATTTCATAACATTAATTTTTTTATTATGAAATTCCAGACTAATCTGACATAAACAATGTGTGAGTGTTAATGAAAAACCACATTTACTAACCTCCAGTACAAGATAATTATGCCCACAACTTTGAACTTGAACTATTTGACATTGACACAAGTTTCTACGGCAGTTATATTAAAAATTAAACATTGGGCATGCAACTTACGACTTTGGCTAATGTGAATAGACCCGGGAAAGTGTAAGTCGTTATTTTAGTTGCCAAATAACCTTCAGGAACTGACGTGCTCAGTTTGCTTATAGTTAAAAGAAACTAATGGCTGATTTGTAATTGAGAAACTTACGTTTTATGTTTGAGTAGAAGCAGTTGATATTTATCTATAATTTCCATGTAATCCACCCTTTTAAAAAATGTTTGGACACATTCATGT